ATCATCTGTAATGATTTTTGAGATTTGTGAATACTGACTCCTTGTAAGTGACCCATTGCTGAATTGACAGTGCTTGAAGATTTGAAAGGCAAAAGCTTCAGGGAATTTGACTAAGTTGCATTTCAGAACAGCAGTAATGTTAACGCCAATGTTTGTAGTTTCAGAGAGTGTAAAGAAAACGTCTAATTGTGTGCCAAGTATTGTTTCTGTACTTAACCAATTATCCAATATCTCATAATGTTGCATATTGCTGTTGTTGTTAGGTGCTGCCAAATTAACTTATAATGACCCCATGTGACAGCAGAATTGCTTCCATAGGGTTTTCTAGTCTGTAATCTTTAAAGGAACAGATCTCCAGGTCTTTCTTCCACTGAGCTGCTGGGTGGGTTTGAACCACCAACCTTTCAGTTAGCAACTGAACTACTTAACTGTTTGTGCCACCAGGGCTCCTTATGTTGTGTAGTTTCCTGCAGTGTGCCCTTGCCAATTAAAAAAAAAAAAAAAAAAAAGCCATGTTGTTATCTTCAAAGGGAAATTTGAGGTGAAATGCTATAATCACCAGCTTCTTCAAATCATTGCCATCTACCAATTAGATAACGGGTTGCTATGTAAAATGTAGTCTCTCTATGATAATCATTTACATCATGGCCATATGTATGCACAGAAGTAAAAGACTAGTGCTTAGTTAAGCAAAGGTAAAGTTACCTTCTATATTCATTCTGGAATTTGGAGATTATTTGTTACCACTCTGTTTTGGCTATAAAGTTCTGTACACACATAAAATGAAACATTTTAATAGGCCGGGTAATGTGTAAGAAGCTTTATTTTCTTTGTAATATGCTTATTTTTTCATGTAAAATCACGAGCTTATAAGTATATTTTGTTCACTGTGTCTTGGAATAAGATTTTATTTAAAGAATATTTTCATCTAGCAAAACTGAATCATAAAATTCTATGATTCTTGTGAAACTATCAACATTATTTGTGAGTAATAACAAGGTGAAAAATCAAGGGGTCTTAAATAGTGGTAATTATTAGTTGGGAAAAAAAATTGGACATTTGGCTAGTTAGATTTATAAGAAACACATTCATGCTATTTGGAAAGAAATGAAAGTTGATTTTTTAACAGCTTTATTCAGATATAATTCACACACCATACAGTTCACCCATTTAAAGATTACAATTCAGTGGTTTTAGTATATGCAGAATTGTGAAACCATCACGTTCATTTTAAAACACTTTCATCACTCCAAAAAGAAACCCATACCCATTAGCAGTCACTCCCTTTCTCATCCCTTCCAATCATATACAACCACCAATCCTCTTTCTATATCTAGTGATTTGCCTATTACAGATATATCACATAGAGTGTACCATACAATAAGTGGCCTTTTATGACTGACTGCTTTCATTTAGCATAGTATTCTCAAGTTCAAGGTAATGTAACATGTATCAGTACTTTATTTCTTTTAATGGCTGAATACTATTCCATATAATTTCCCAAAGCAGCTGCACCATTCTGTATTCCCACTAGCACTGTATGAGGATTGCAATTTCTCCACATACTCTTCAATACTTACTGTCTTTTTTGGTTCTAACCATTCTAGTGAGTGTGAAGTGGTATCTCATTTAATTTGCATTTCCCTGATGACTGATAATATTGAACATCTTTTCATGTGCCTTTTTGCCATTTAGATATCTTCACTGGAGAAATGTCTATTCAGATCTTTTTCATGTTTTGAAATTGAGTTGTTTCTCTATTTACTTTTAATAATTCTTTGTATATTTTAGATACGTCTATTATCAGATATATGATTTGCAGATATTTTCTCTCATTCTGTGGGTTGTCATTTCATTTTCTGGATAATGTCCTTATAAGCAAAAAAAAAATTTAATTTTGATGTGGTCCAATTTGTTTGTTATTGCTTTTATTGCTGTTGTTGTGCTTTTGGTGTCATATCTAAGAAAAAGTTGCCTTTTCCAAGGTCATAAAGATATACTCCCAGGTTTTCTTCTAAGTGTTTTATAGTTTTAACTCTTACATTTAACTCTCTGATCCATTTTAATGGTTTTTTTGTGTGTATGGTAGGCATCCAACTTCATTCTTTTGTATTTGGATATCCAGTTATCCCAGCCCCATTTGTTGAAGACTGTTCCTTCTCCATTGAATTGTCTTGACATGCTTGTCAGAATCAGTTGACAATAGATGTAAGGGTTTATTTCTAGACACTCAATTCCATTCAGTATACAGGGACTATACTGTAGATATTTTGAAGGAAAGAAAAAAATGGGCCAAGTCATATGAAAAAGACAAATTTGACATGATACTTACCCTGACAGAGTTTATGTTTTGTATATTCCAGGAAACGTGAGTACCTGTTAGGTAGATACAGGCCTGGGCTGGGGATACAGAGTTGAATGCAGCACTGCTTGAAAGTGAAGTCCCAGTTCTGGGTAGGAGTTACACAAAAAGTACCTCTCTCCTTAGAGTACAAAGTAATAAATAGAGAAATGGAGATATGCTCAAGGTTCTGTGGAAGCTCAAATGACGGGCCCTCACTTTGACTGAAAGGGTGTTCATTTGGTTTGAGAGCTTCAGAAAGGTGGACAGAGCATTCTAAGCAGAGGGCATAGCATGAGTCATGGCTTTGTAGTGGTGGTGGTGATGGCAGTAGTGGATAAAATAGGAACACAAGAAATATAAGACATTGCATATGATTTGACCTAATGAAAAGTGGGGATGAGTTCTTGCCTCCACTTGATAATTTTTGTAGTCTTTGCAGTAATAAAAGAATTTCTTTAAAAATTCCTCTAATAAGATTCTTACAGACAAGAAGTATGAGGTTCAGAACCCCTCTTATTTTCCCAATCTGGAAACATTACTAAAGAAGTAAAATCCTGAGTGATAGTTTAATCTGAAAAATACTTAGAAATTAGGGAATACCTGCAAATAAATTGAGAGCAGTTTTTTAAAAAAGATATTCAAAATATATGTTCTGTGTTTAAAGACTGCTGAAACATTCCACATTTTAAAATGAATTCTTGCCGCTTTTTCCCCCCATCAGCAACTCCTTTTTCTGCTCCTACTTCCTACCCAAACTATATATTGAAAGATTTTGTCTGGCAATTACATTTTCCCACTTTGTATCAAAGATAACATTTGATTAGTAAACTACTGCCATCAAGTTGATTGCAACTCATGGACAGTAAAGGAAAAAAAGCGTAGTGCCTAAGGCCCTTGACTGCTAACCAGAAGGCTGGCAGTTCAAACCCACCAGCCACTCCTTAGAAGGAAGGTTGGACAATCTACTTCCATAGTGATACTGCCTTGGAAACCTAAGGAGGGGTTGCTATGAGTCGGGGCCAACTCAATGGCACTTAACATCTTCCTTCTGAGAGTGGCTGGTGGGTTTGAACCACCAACCTTAGCAGTCAAATGCCTTAGACACTGTGCCACCAGAACTCCTCTTTGATTAACATAGCTATATCACATACTAAATTGATTTGAGACAAAAGAAACTGTTGACCTAGGCTGTGCCGCCTTATCACACATTTCTATAGGATTCCTTTAGATTTTATGAATTATTGAAAACAGCACCTAGTTCCTTTGTGAGGTGTTGAGGGAATTCAGCTTTGGAACTGCTTTGAGTCTTTTGATCCATTTAAAATAATCACATTTCAAATGTGTTCATAGATAGTGGTTAAAGGATAAAGTTTTGGATTTAGTTAAGACGCCTGGATTTACTTCATTTATCTAACAATGATTCTTAAGTCTATTAATCTCTTAATGCCTCAGTTACTCCATCCTCTAGTTGTTTTGTGTGTGTGTGTGTGTGTGTGCACGCGTGCACTTGAAACTTGAAAGAAATGAAAAATGAAGCCAACGTGAGTAAAGAAAAAATGTGAGAAAATAGGGAAAATCACATGGAACATAAAATAACTTCCAAATGATTCTAATCAAATGTTTGTAAAAAGTAAATGTGACCCTGGTTTTGATGTCCCATTAATAAAAAGTCATAAAGAACTGTATAAAAATGATACTGGAAAACCTTTAGGCCTCATATTTTTGAAAGCATTTATTCCAAACTGGAAAGCCATGTACCAATTTGCGTTATCTATAAGCCACTGGACCTTTTAAAAATGTAATCGCTGTTTTTTAATAAAATGTTCAAACGTCTCTGGAAAAGAAGAAATAGCTGTAAATATTTTACCACGCACATGTATCTCTGGAAAGTTTAGCCTTAGCAGTCAAATGCTTTAGGCACTGTGCCACCAGAGCTCCTCTTTGATCAGCATAGCCATATCACATACTAAGTTGATTTGAGACTAAAGAAACTGTTGATCTAGCCTGTGCCACCTTATCATAGGTTCCAACTCTTCTCTCTGGGGAACTGAGATTTCAGCATTGCAGAGCCATTTTTACAAGCTTCTGCTTGAGCCAAAAATTCTCTGGTTCTGAATTTCTTTGGAGTTGTGCCCGTCACCTGGCCAGCAGAAGCGTTAGTGGCAAAGGTGAAAAAGGAGAGATATCTATCTATATCCCTTTTTCCTTCCTCTACAACGATCTTTAGTTTCTGGGCCTCTTGCACGGGGAGAGCGGGTACAATCTCAGCCATCTCCACACACTCTCTCAGAGCCAGTGTGTCTCAAGGTGGTCTGCTCGCAGGACCACTGTCAAGGGCATACTTGAGGTGCTAGCTAAAAAAAGGTGGGATCTATGGCCCCACCTGAACCCACTGAGTCAACCTCTGCTAGCTACTTCCAAGTAGCCTAAAGAACGCCAAAGTTCTCGGCTTCGTCTCACACTCCTCTCTCCCTCCCCTTGTTCTCCTTGTCCACAGATAGGCGCGCTCCTAGGCCTTGGGGACTGACACAGAAAGCCGTGGGTTGGGAGCCATCACGAGCTGAGAGCGCACAGCGGTGAGAGCTTGATATTCTCGCGAGGTTTCGGCGGACTTCTCGAGGCGGGGAGGCGGCGGTGGCTCCGAAGTCGCCGCGAGATGCGCTCGGAGAAAGAGGCAGCCGGCGGGGCCGGAACTGCTGTGGCTGCTCGGGGCTCAAGTACAAGGGAGAAGCCGTCAGTGCCAACCCCACGCGTGGGGCAGGCCATAGACGTCCAGTTCCGCTGGGAGTCGCCACGGCGGGAGCCTGAACCTCCGCCAGCCTTCGCCTCCGGCTGTGGGGGTGGAGGGGGCGGTGCGGGCAAACCACGAGAGGAGAAGAGGACGGTTCTGAGCAAGGTCCGGACAGGGGCGGGGCGAGCACTGGGTGTGGGACCGTGAAGGAGCCGGAACAGGACTGAGCAAGGGAGGATCCTGAGCCTTCAGGACCGCGGAGAGTGGCCGGAAGGGTCGCGTGCGGGCGGGTAGCGCAGACCCCTGGAGAAGCGGTTGACCGGAGCTGGGGAAGGGGACGCTGAGGGAGACAGTTTCTTGCACTTTCTGACTTGATCTTTTCTGACTTGCGGAGGAAGAAGAGTCATTTAAGTTCTGTGAATATTTTTCAGTTGGATTTAAAATCCTTGGTTCACTAACATCAGACAGGTAGCGTGTAAAGAGCAAAAAAAAATCCTCCCTCCCTCCCTCAGCATCACTGTTCTCCGTTCCAAACCTGCTTGTTACTAAAGACCACCCCTTCATAATAGGATTTAAAGGTGCCTCGATATTTGAAGCATGAGACTGCAAGAAGTCCCCAAACCTGGCACACGAAGGTAGACGTTTACTTTGTTAGTAGAGTCACATTCAGAAGGCTAGTACATACTGATCTAATAAAGATTTCCAGAGGCAGAACTGGAAATGACTACTGCAGAAGTATTAGCAGATAATCCTGATATTATTATTGACATAAGAGACAGAGATTGATGAGCGTAAGAGAAAGAACTGCCAGAAGTACTGATACTACAGATATGTCAGGTAAAGAGTGTCCACCACAAGCAGCCAAATGCTGCAAATCTTGAAGCTGTCCAAGAACCCGTTGGCAATAAGAACAAATACACCTTTACTTTATAACTTGCATTTCTCTGAATGTGTTTTACCTTCTGATATTTATAATGTAGGTGGAGCATGGAAGATTTTAGTCTTCAGTTCTGGCGCAAACAGTATATATAATATGCCAGAAATTTTTTTGTTGTTAGGAAATGATCACATGAAAAAGAACTGCGTTGTCCTCAGGCTTTTCTGACCTCACTGATAACTTATAAATTATTCAGTCCCCTGCATCCTGTAGACTGCCATGTTCTTTGTGCATGTATGTCTTAACTTTTGTTTCTGTTGGACTCCTGGTTTAGATTTGCTCTGGGCGTAAATATAGATGATCAAGCATCCAAACAATTGAGGCTTGATACATTAATGGTGAAAAACAGTTAGTGTAGATTTTACTTTGGTGCTCCTCAGGTTGTCATAAGGCGGCTTCCTCCCAGTCTCACCAAGGAGCAGCTGGAAGAGCAGCTACATCCACTTCCTGCGCATGATTATTTTGAATTCTGTACAGCCGATGTTAGGTGAGGAGAAATATCAAGCTTCAACATTAAAAAGCTGAAAGGTGTTATCAGTTGATAGGCAATTGTTACAGATAATAGAAGTCATCCTCTTTTCCATATTTTCTTCCAAATATCCCCTGAAAACAGTACCTTTCTTTATTTTTGCAAGTTACCCTTAAGTAAGCAGATTATTAAATTCTTCTAAAATAGAATTTTGGAATGTACTTCTATGACCATCATAATACCATTATATAAATTACTCAATCTTTCAACCTTATTTCATATAGCTTATTAAAAGTGAATTGTATTGAAATATAACAAAAAAGTGAGTAAATCATAAATGTGTAACCTGATGAAATTTGACAAGTGAACAAACTTATGTAACTGACACCAGATGAAGAAGTAGAGTATTTCCAGGCCCCCTTAAGCCCTTTGTACTCTGTTCTATCACTCCCACCCTTTTGCAGTTTCGAAATAGGATGACTCTAGCATCATTTTAACACTTCCTAATCTCCCTTTAAGGAGCCCTGGTGGCATAGTGCCTAAGGCATTGGCTGCTAACCAGAAGGTTGGCAGTTCAAACCCACCAGCCACTCCTTGGAAGGAAGGTTGGGCAATCTGCTTCCATAGTGATACCGCCTCGGAAATCCAAGGAGGGGTTGCTATGAGTCTGATCTGATTTGATGGCAATGAGTTTTTAATCTTCCTTTTGAGAAGCCTTGTTGGTACAGTGGTTAAAGCACTTGGCTGCTAACCAGAAGGTCGGTGGTTCAAACCCACCAACTGCTCCATGGGAGACACATAAGGCAATCTGCTTCCATAAAGGTTTACATCCTCAGAAACCCCACAGAACAGTTCTACTCTGTCCTCTGGTGTCATTAAGAGTCAGAATCAACTCTATGGCAATGAGTTTATTAATATTATCGTGGTTATCAGAATATCCCATTTATGGTAGTATACAGACTTTCCTTTTGAATAATTGTATTTAAGTTTTTTAAAAAGTCAATCCATTTAAAGAAAAATATTACTAACAGGTAAATATAGATATTAAAATGTGTAAAGATGATTTTCAAATTACTAAAGTTTAGGGAGAAACTGGTATAGTAAAAGTGGAGAAGCCTTGGGATTAGAATGACCCAGATTGGAATCCCAGTTCCTCCTTTTAACTAACCATACCCTCCACAATTACCTAATTTCTCTGAGCCTCTGTGTCTTCATCTGTAATATGGGATTGAAAGCACCTTCCTGTGAATTAAACTGGGTGGCTGTGGGACAGGAGGAAAGACCTTTTGAGTTCTGACCACATGCTATGATAAATACTCTTAAAATAGCTGAAAGTGTTCTCTAAATTCTAAGAATCTTTTAATATTCACTTCTGTAAATAAATGGTGTAGAATTCTGTGTCAATTGTGATGCATAATGTAGGAGTAACCTTTTCTGTGGTGTTTTAACCTCTGAAGGACCAATATTTTAATCTTACCTTTGTGCAGTAGAGAAACTGATCCTAAATTGCTTCTCCCAAGTCATTCAAAATATTTCAGTTAATTTTTTCCCTCAAAGAATATCCAGATTGTTAGAAATAACTGAGACATAATTTTTTGGCATAAAGTCTTTATTTGAAGTAGTTTGTTATATCCAGACAAGAAAAAGACAAAATTAAAGGAGCTTTATATTTTTTACTAACCATTATCTCTTATTTCAGTCTTTATCCTCATCTCTACTCAAGAGCATACATTAATTTTAGAAACCCTGATGACATCCTTCTTTTCAGAGATCGTTTTGATGGCTATATCTTCATTGACGGTAAAGGTTAGATTGTTGACTTTTTAATTCTTTTATTATAATCTCAGTATATTAATGAAATTTTGTTTGAGTATTTGTGAAATTTAAATAAGACGTTCTCAGATACTAATCTAAACTAAATTCATAAATTTTGATTATGGTGCTGTGATTGTGTTCTGAGATTAAAAATTAAAATTATATGTAAACCAACAGGACTCTAGCAATTCTGTCTAACAGTGACAACCCATTTATGTATTATCATTGAGGAGTGAAGTTTTTGATATAAATTAATTTTCTGAATAGCTGAACTTTACTTTTTTATAGCTTGAGACTAATTATCTTGCCCATGCTTGATAAACATTTTCTGAAATGTATTATACACTGACTCTGTGTTGTACTAAACAGTACTGTTTATAATCTTATCAATTCTTAATAATGTCATAAGAGGTAGTATTATAATAATGCACATCAGTTATTGACTGTAGTTAAACAGTTGCCGGCGGGAGCTCTGGTAGCATAGTGGCTAAGACACTTGCCTGCTAACCAGACAGCTGGCGGTTCAAACCCACCAGCCACTCTTCGGAAGGAAGGTTGGGCAATCCTACTTCCATAGTGATACTGCCTCGGAAACCCAAGGAGGGGTCACTATGAGTCATGTTTGACTCGACGGCACTTAACAACAACAACAAACAGTTGCCAGCAGGCTTAAGGATATTTACGTCTTACCAGTGGTTCTACTTTCTTATCCTTTTTGGGTTCTTACATCTAATTTGTTTTTCTTTTTCCTCATTTCTTATTTGACTGCCAGCTGTTGCCTTCACTGCTGTCAAGTCTGTACTCTTCTTTACTTATCGACTATTTCATTATCCAGCATTTCTCATCTATAACAATAGGAAAAGTCTATTGTCCAACTGTTTTACACATTAATGACATATATCTGGCAGTAACAAATGCTGAGGTGCAAGATGGGAGTAATGCCAGCTGTGATAGTTAAGGTTATGTGTCTACTTAACCTGGGCCATGATTCTTAGTGGTTTTACAGTTATGTAATAATGTAATTTGGCAGTTATATATTGATGTAGGAGCTCTGGTGGCATAGTGCCTAAGGCATTTGACTGCTAACCAGAAGGTTGTCAGTTCAAACCTACCAGCCACTCCTCAGAAGGAAGGTTGGCCAATCTATTTTCGTAGTGATACTGCCTCGGAAACCCAAGGAGGGGTTGCTGTGAGTCGGATCCGACTTGATGGCAGTGGGGTTATACTGATGTAAGTTGGCAGTTACATAATGATGTAGTCATCCTCCATCTTGTGATCTGATGTGGTCATCCTCCATTTTCACATAAAGCCAATTTTTGCATAACGACCTGGTCTTTGGAACCTAGCTATGCCAATAAGTGAAGAGAGAGTGTATTCCTTTAACAACATCTTGTTTTCTATCCTTCCGTCACCAACTAACCTCTTTCCACTCCATTCCCACCCCCACTACTGACTGATTTTTTTTCTTCTCTTCTATATGGTAACAAACTAGAAATGATTGTAAAACGTAACTAGGCTGAGGACTGAAAGGTTTTTCCTGTGAGGAAAAGGAAATTTAATGCTTGAACTGTTTAACTGTTCATTTATTTGGTAATTCATTCAAGTTCCATTTAATAAGTAGCTACTACATGCCAGGCAAAGCAGTAGGCATTGTAGATGCAGGAGACATTGTTCCTGCAGGTCCAGAGACCTGATATCTTCCTGGTTCTTGATTTTATTCTGGATAGTTGAAGTTAGTACAGAAATGTCTTCCAGATAATTGAGAGGTCACCTCATTTATCATAGTTACCTGACCACTAGTAGAAGTCTAAAAATGATTACTAGGTAGGTTTAGTACTGAGGCATTAGTGTTCCATAGCAGATTCTCTTAGTGAAAGTTTGTATGCGTGTGTGTGTGTGTTGATTTTCCCCACATGACAACAAAACCAGTTTTTAGTGACTTCCATTCTAAACATTGCTATATGAAGCAAATATTACCTGTGATACTATACTTATCATTTTAAGTCCCTTTTTAAAGCCGTGTGTCTCCTTTAAACAATGTGATTTTTTTTTTAACTCATTAAAAAAACAAAACTCACTGCCATTGAGTCACTTCCAACTCAGCGACCCCCTTTGGGTTTCCAAGGCAGTAAATCTTCACGGAAGTAGATTGCCCAGTCTTTCTTCCGTGTAGTGGCTGGTGGGTTGAACTGCCGACCTTCTGGTTAGCAGTAAAATGCCTTAGGCACTACGCCACCAGAACTCCTTTGAACTCATAGAAGATTGATAATTGAATTAACCTTTAAAAATTTAAAAAATATAACTAAGAGTCCTGACTATTAAAGGTATTATATATTAAATTATTTTTGGAGGGGTCTATGTTCATTGAGATATACATTATATATGGTCAAATTCACCATTTTAAAGTATACAGTTTAATGAATTTTGGATGTATACAGTTAGGAGTCTCTGGTAGCATAGTGGCTAAGGCACTTGACTGCTAACCAGAAGGCTGGCGGTTCAAACCCACCAGCCACTCCTCGGAAGGAAGGTTGG